CCCCCCCCCTCCCAAAAAAAAAGATGGTTCCTGAACCCAAAGCCCTAGCCCCTGAACGCGCCTCGCAATCCGAGCAGCGCAATTCGCCTAGCCAGGCGTGTGCTCATCCCATGTCGGCGTAGACACAAGAACTTGCCATGGAATATGGGAATTTGGTCGTGACCCATGCCCCCATAAGGACCAACTCGCATCTAGGGACACCCACTTCTTATTGAACGATATTCTTGGGTCGTGAAACCCTAAACCCTTAACCCTAAACCCTAAACCTGGGGTGGAGGGGGAGGTGCGTCGAGGCGTAGGTGGCAATTATTCTCCATGAAGGGAGATGCAGGCTTTCGGGGCCTGATGTAGAAGACGCATATCAACTAATTTGGCTTGAGAAGTCGTACAGTCTTATATATGGCCTCATAGAAGTGGCAAGGTTTTCATTGATTATGAGTTACATCTTTGATGGCTCATAGCTTGCTAGAAGACAGATGCACTTTCCTGCGAAGACTCATGCAGTCTTAGCCGCAACGAGAAGGAAGATTGGATCCAGTCATGGTGGCCAAAATCAGAAAACCTCAAGTTCAGGCAACATGTAAGCAGACCCGCGTTTCCAAGACACTTCCCCCAGGCAACATTGTATTAAGGTCTAGATAATTAGTCGTGCTCCCCGCTGTTCCTACTCTGAGTAAAGTGTAGAGCCAAAAAAACTTTTTGCCCCTCCTTCAGGCCCCTGCAGTCACAGAAAACTACTCTGCCAAATGTTGATCGTCGATATCTACAAATTCAATATGCAAGCCATGGACCCCACGGGCGAAAGCTAACTCCCACCAGCCCTGAAAAGCTTAAGCCCTAGATCCAAAGCTTCATATGAGACACAGCCGCCTGCATCATTCTGCAACCGCCCATCGCCACACAAAGGACAATGAACTCCGGGAAGGAGATGCTGCTCAAACAGTGCGCAGTCCTGCTCCCCGACGGTGCTCCGGCGTTTAGGGTTTATACCTGTTACCGTACCCATAAAACGGTGTTATCCTTCTTACAGGGCTCCGAGGAGGCTGCCCAATCAATCTGCGCTAAAATCATGACTGCCGTGTCAGAGCATTCATGTTAAGCATCTTAGAAGGTCTCTTGGGTCGTAGCCGAGGATCGGCTTCAGAATGTACACGGCAAGGGGATTCTTGGCTGGGCGGCTCAGGATATAGGGCCTCGGGCTCAGAATTAAGTTGGCGCCCTAGAAGCCAACTAAACAGCGGGCACCAAGCGAGCTTGAACGAATCGTGGTTTAGGGTTTGATCCTTAACCCCGATTTATTTGGAGGTTCGTCTATAGCTATAAGTGATGGCCTATAACTTGGGCTGTAAGTAGGGTCGCTGACACAATGTGGCCAATATCCAGCACTCAGAACTAACCATGACCCCAAGCTATGTGCAGTTATTATTGGGCTCCATGCTTAGGTAGGGAACTCAAGTTCTAAAACACATAATGAAATATCATAGAAGTTCGAAGTTGTGCTTCGTAACATACATCTTGTTTCCATCTGTACAATCCCCTCAGAATGTGTGTGCGTTTTTTGATAGTCCCTTGAGGATGGTTACAGGTATTTTGGGTTCTACAGATCGGCTCCCATTTTCACACGTAGATAGCTATACATGCATTCGATCATAAGCGCCACAATGGCGAATCTGTTCAAGTTGAAGCTCAACTTTCACTTGCGCATGTTCACATGCTCTACATACTCAAGCCCTGAGCCCTAAACCCTTACTTGTGAGCTTTGTGCATGAGAAACCGGTAAACTTCTGGTGCAAATTCTAGGCAACGAAAGGTCAAGGCCGAGCAACGTCTTAGCAGACAAAAGCCCGCAACCCCTACTTAGAGGCTCAGGGTAATTACAGGTTACTTCTTGGTATAGCCCCCCCCCAAGTCCTCTAATGCAGGTATAAGTGGGTTCCTGAACCTCCCTGTGCCCTGAAACTCTTCGCCCACATCGGCCTCTTCGTTCTGCACGTCTTCTAATTGCTGCAAGTGCTGCGCCTCATCCTCACAAGAGGAAGCTGGGATAGACTCAAGCGCGGTAGAAAATGTAAGTCATATGGTGCTCTAGGGAATAAGAATTCAAAGGCTTGTGGTCCGCAATGCGTTAACATATTGCCAGGAATATCCCCGGAAGGTGCTCAACCAGGCCATGCTCTTGTTTATACCCAGTCTTTTATCTACTGCGCTGCTGGTAAGGAATTCTAAATAAGATACTAGAATGGGGGAACGAAACTAATTACTACATATACCCATCATGGCAACTTGGCTTAAGTTCCTTGACAGCAACCCATTCCATACACTGCGTTTACTTGCATTCAGGCAGAGGCCCCCAACCCCACACCCTAAACCTACTTGGGAGTTTCTCAAAAAGGG